ACATTAAGCAAGAACCTAACGGCCTGGTTTAATAGTAGTGTTTGATTTAGCAGGTTGGGAAACTCTGCACTGCAATAAAAGATGAGTCATTTTTATTGATTGTGGCAAAACAGCCAAGTGGGCCTTAACCAGGGTTTGTGAACATTTCCATGCATGAGTTGCTTATCAGTAGCACATATTCAAAGCAAGTATCTTGTCAAGAGGGCAATTTCCAGTGCTACCTAGGGACATGAAAATACTTCTAAGAGAAAGACATTTAGCCTTGTTCAAGAAAGAAAATCCACTAAGGTGAGGAGCTTGTGGAAAACTTACAGTATCAAGAGTATCCTCCACAAAAACGGTGGAGGAAGAGCAAGGCTTCTGTGGAAGCCTTTGGGTTCCAAAAGAAGAAAGAATGTCTTCCACACTGTCAAACCTGAGACTTGATTCTGTCTCCAAAGGCTTTTGCTGCAGGATTTTTGCAGCTAAATCAGTACAGAGCCCATGAAGTCAGTAATGCCATCTGTCTGGCCCTCTTTTCTCTTTTTGTATCAAGTCAAAGGAAACGTAAGTAGAGAAAGCTTGGATGTTTTGTAGTGCATTCATCTTAGAATTCCTATGTAGTGTATAAGAATAAATATACATCTAGTAAGGAACTAGATCTTTTTGAACTTAATAAAGGAAACTCTCAGATCCAGATAAAAATAAATAATTAGTTGCTAGTAAGTGGCTCATTGTTAAAACATATAAAAAGAATGTGGTTTAGGTGGAGAAAAACATGAAGTAAGCATGAAGTATCTCAGGTTTTGTGGTGGGAAGGTCTTACAGTACAGCCATTATAGTTTTAATAGTTACATTTTAATTAGTTATTAGTTATATTAATAGTTCCTAGAACTGTTCCTCAGTTCTAGAACAGGGTCTGGACATTTTTGTCCTGTGCATTTTGTATCTACCAACAAAATTACCCATAGCTGCATCACCTGACTGTTAATGAAATACAATTAAAGAGTTAAAGGATCTTGTTAGCACAAATGCAAAATTTAGCGTATTGTTTAACTGATGGTACCTAGGTAATTGCCAAACAAGGACATTTTTCTTTCTGATGGTAACTTATTATGAAGTAATTTGTCTTTTGCTTTATTCTAACTTCTGCCATGGCCTCGTCTAGTGTGTTTGACTACATAAAGGGTGAAAACTAAAGGGGACACATGGGTTGATGGGAGTTATATGTCACATGAGACATGAAGGCCTGCTGTTATCTTTCTGAAGTGCAGCATGACACTATAACAACAGGTTGCTGCCTAGCCTTCTGATGACATCTGATAGGGTAATAGATGAACTGTAACCAAATTAAAAAAAAAAATCCTATACCATATGTAAATATATATAATTGACTGCCTGTCCTTATCAAGCCAGCATGAGTTAGTCCTGTTCCTCCTTCCTCTGTCTTAATTAAACACGTAATGTGTGTTGAGGGGGTGGGCTTATAGTGCCTGTCTGCCTGCAACTGATGATACTGTTGCTTGCTTTTGCCTTTCTTCAAGTATTCAGAGGAGAATTAAGTTGGACCCAGTTAGTGTCTTTTGAATTAAATTTCAGGTTAATTCTGTTACAGCTGAAGAGGTAAGAGGTAATGATCTTTGGCCATTTGGATGTCTTTTTAACAAAGAAGACACACTGAAAGATAAGTACATTACAGAAAAAATTGAGTATATTATGGAGAAAACCTGCAGGTTGTGTTAGTCAGAAACAAAAGGTGGAGTACTTCTGGGCAGAGCAGAATAAGGATGCTATTCTTTCTAAGTACAATTAGCGTGGACTTACAAAAGGAGGATCAGGCCTCACAAATCTGATATCCTCTTCTGGAGACAGGAAAACTAAAGGAGTCACAGCAGGAAAACTATTGACATGATTAATCAAGACAAGAGGAAAGCTTTTCATACAGGGACATACAAAAGGCTTAATCCCAAACCCAAGGAGTAAGGCAAAGAAACAGTTTAAGTGAAAAAGAAATTAGTTGCAAGTTCAAAGACAGAATGGTGCAAGACAGGATTACAAAGACTATAAATGAATTACTGTGAGACTGGAAAGAAAGGGGAACAGTGGAAAGCTGATCAAAAATAGTCTTTGACAATTGTGTTATTTCACAATTAACAGTCTCAGGGTGTCCACTACAAGTATGTTGATTCCCAGTTTGGTAGAATCACTTGCATCTCACATGATATCTACAAACCCATAAAAGAAAAATGTTCTTTGCATATTGAACATCTTTGAGGTCAGATGAATGGGTGTGATTATTTATATTATGGACCCTGAACCATCCATCCTTCACAGCTATAAACAGCTTTTTTTTCTTTGTATCCCTACAGCTTTCCTGACTGCTGGAAACAGTTCAGTAGTGGTGCTACTGGCAAGAACTTGAGGCAGAGAAGGCATGTCAGTTTTCTTGTGCTTCTAGCTCCCTACTGAGAGCCTCAAAAACTGTGTCTGGAGGCAGTCCTACAAAGCCTGCCAGCTTACTAAGGCTGTGAGTGGACATAATTTGTTGATAGCTCCAAAGGGCCACCCTTCTCTGCTCTCTGTTTGCAAGCCAAGCAGATAGTTTTTGGATAGTTTTACATAGCATGGTTAGGAGTATGACACCACTTCACTGTTTGAGCAGCCATCCTAAAGACTGAGAAAAGGCTATGGCTAGCTATCTCCATGTGCAAGCATAACTACTTTTAAATAAAAGTAGCTTCAACATGTTGGAAGGGCTCTCAGAACCCCATTTTTTGAGTTCTAAAGTTATCACTCCATCCACCAGCTGTGAGGTCAGGTGAAGATCCCTGTATCAGATCTGCTTAATACATTAACACTATAGCTGTCAGTCAGCCCTATATCAGCATATTAGACTACACCTGTTCCTAAAGGAGTATTAGCAGACTACTCTGGTTCCTTCAGACTTAGCACTGCTTTCCCCTTTGGTCTTTCTGTCAGCCTGTTAGGGAACAGCTGATAACCTGGTCTCAAGACAAGTGGAAGTACCTGTCACCAGCTGAAACTGTTGGTCAGGGCCTCAATGGCATGGACAGGGCTTATGGTCCCTGCCCTGCCTTCCCTGGAGCATCCCACATTCTGCTTCCCAGGGCTGCCAGCCCCTGCCCCAGCACTGCTAGGCCCTGGGATTGATGTTCCAGCAGCTCCTCCACTTGGCTGTACTAAGACAGTAAAAAAAGCTGAAGGAGCCAGAAAACCGAGGCTATCTCTATCAGGAAGGACATTATAATGAGTTTAAAAGAGATTCACCAAAGGATAGATAGGTTTTTTATCTGGTCAATTAACTCAGACCTCCCCAGTTAAGGATATATAGGTGGACTTATAGTCTAAAATGTTAATTAAATAGACTTGAATGGATGAATGTGCTGATATATTACTTCTTCAAAGAATGAGACTTCTTTCATTAGATGCATTACGTGACTTTAAATACCTGCCCTGGTCTCATGGAAAAGAAGGGTAGGGTATATTGCCTTCCTCTTTTAGCAAAAGCTGGGGTGTCCTGCTTTTGTATTATCTGTTACTACTGTTTCTCTTGATGACCTTCTGCCTTCCTCTTCATCAGGCTCGACATTGACCACAGCACTGCTCTTTGTTTTATGGTATTTGAGGAATTTGGTCAATCCAAGATGTACCGGCATCCTCTCCCCTTCCTTCCCCTGCCTTCTTCTTGTCTGCCTGCCTCTCCAACAAAAGCAATATTCTCAACAGGAAAGTTTGTAGATTTTCAAAACTTCAGATAAGCCCTTCTAAGTTTGTAAAATACAGGAGGGCATCTAGTTGTGAAGAAAAACATGACCACAGTTTATATTCTTAGTCTGCCAAGGACTGTCAAGGGGTTGGTACTATCTCTAGTTACTGCATTCTGGCAGTGTGTCACTGAGCTGTGCACGTCTTGGGTGTTTCTGTACTACAAATAATGGTGCTACTCATTAGTAAATAAATCCCTGGAACAGTCTAGAATTCCCAGTAGAGACACTCCTGACAAAGGGCCTTAATTAATTTGGTGGTAGCCATGGGCACGCTGAGTGGTTTACACTTGAGAAGCCACATGACCGGGAAAAGAAACAAAGACAGCTCTCAGATGACAACAATGTAATGAAAAGAGCAGAGTACATGTAAATGTTTGGCTTGCATGCTAGCAGTGGTGTAATAAATCTGTTATTCTGCTCTGTTGTCAGGGGACATTTAGGTTGAATATTAGAAAAAGGTTCTTCATCCCCAGGGTGGTTGGACACGGGAACAGGGAAGTTTCCTGCTCCCCAAGGAACTGGTCAGAGCACCAGCGTGAGAGAGTTGAAAAAACGTTCGGACAGAGCTGTCAGGCACATGTTGTGACTCTTGGGGATGTCCTGTGCAGGGCCAGTAGCTGGACTCGATGATCCTTGTGAGTCCCTTCCAACTCAGCGTATTCTGCGCTTCAGTGCACCGGCCTTCCGCAAGAGCCGCGGCAGCCGAGCTCCCGGCGCGGGGCCGCTCCCCCAGGGCAGGGCAGTGCCCTCCCGCTGACCGCCGCTGCGCTCCGTGCGTGCCCGGCCCCGCCCCGCGCCGCCGGTGACGCGCGCCGCCGGTGACGCCCCATAAATAGCGGGGCGAGCCCGGCGCTCCCTACTCAGCGGCGGCGTCGGCGCCTGTGCCCGCGACCCTGCGTGTGCTGCAGTCGGCGGCGGCTCCGGCTCCTCCTCCTCCCGGGTGAGTACGGCTGGCCCGCTGCACCGGCACGGCTCTCGGGGCCTGCCCGTCCCGCGGAGCTGACTCCGCAATATGGTGGAGCCCGGCGGCGGAGCGGGCGGGGGTGCGGCCCCGTGTGCGGCGCTGACCGCCGGCCGTCCCCGCGGGATCCGCGGCCCGGCGTGTTTCGGTGTGCCGGCCGAGGTTCGCCCGGCACCAGAAAGTCCCAGGAACCTCGTCCGCCCCCGGGAGCGGTGCTGGAATGCCCCATCCCGGAAGCGGCCCGTGGAGGCACTTGGGAAAGCGGTGCGCGTTCCTGCTTTGGGTATCGCGGCGAGCCGGAGCCGGCGCCGCGGCTGCTGTGCGAGGCTCATCGCGCTGCTCTCTTGCACTTCTTTCCATAGCGAGAGGGATAGTAGGAATGGAGTTTGTGACGTAGACTGTGTGCTTTCCTCTCCAGAATCTCTTGCTGTCTCTGAAATATGCTTGGACTTGGATTCCAGGCGTCTCACTCACCTGCGCCAGGGAAGTGGATCCGACTTTTGCTCGGGCTGATCATATTCAAGGAGTGTCTGAAACCGTGCAAGATTCTAGTTGACTTCCTTTTCTTTTGGAGCAGGAGTAATTCCACAGGCTAACTGTCCTGGTTTATTGACTAAAATTCAAATGTATGCCCTGTGTGGATGGATCTTAGGAGACACACTACGAATGTTGAATAATCCTTAAAGTAACGGCCCTTCTTTCTTCAGAGGCCAGATTCTGTGTCGTTAGCATCTTCTATTCTGTAGCATCCTTTGCAGTTCATGGTGAAATTCAGTTTTACTCCAAGTGATCTGACTTGTAATGCTCTGTGAGAAACACAGCACGTTCCTGCGGGTATTTAAGTTCTTGTTAAATGAAAGGAGAACTTATTTGTTACCACTGTAACCATTGTCTGTTACTTGTCTTGCCTGTGTGTTCCTGTACAGTGGTTAATCTCATTACAGGCATTACTTTATGGCATGTGAATGTTAATATGTGCAAATATGCCTGCAAAATATTAACAGGATGCCTTTGTCCTCCTTCTCCATTATGTAAAGGGGAAAAGTTTTATCTCAGATGGAGTATTAACACGTTCCTTTTTTGCTGTCATACATATGACAGTTTTCTGTTGGCTCTTTGACAAATCTAGCAAAAGGCCTTGTAAACCACAATCATTTTGAGGACAGACTCCTAGTTTACCTTTTTGTTGCATTCATTCGTGCAGATTTTTCTGGAACTTAAGCATTATGTGAAATCATTAATGGAAAAGGTGCTTATTGCAGATTTAGTTCATGCATATGTGCATAGGATGACAGTGTGCTTCAGTGTGTTCTCTTTATGTGGTACTGCCATACCCTGCCCCTTCTGTAGGGTTCTTGTGGAGAGAGCTGTTAGTATTTCCTACATGGGAATATATGTTGGAATGCATGTTGAATTCTGTAGATTTGTTGAATGACCAATGTTTGCAACTTTTTTCAGTGGGAAATGTGTAATAATTTAGTCTAAATTAGCGTAAAGGAATATTATTTTCTGCAGTAGGGAAATGCGCTCTTCTCTGTATCATAGGAATACTAACTCCTTAGCAAGCAGAACAGAGTGAGTCTTAGGTGGGCTTCCTAGAAGATCTAATCTGATTTAAGCTATTGGTGGTGGGTTCTTTGTCTGACTGGGACATTCTAAACTAGATTTTTAGTGACTCGCAGGCTGGCTTTTGTTTGTCCTGGCTCAACAGATAAGACTGTCTTAATTCTTCTAGGAAAAATAAATTACTCCACTACCTGGTTATTCATCAATGCACTATTGTACCTCAAAGCCTTGCTTGTGCATCTGCTGTACTTGCATTACCTAAACCAAGTTTCAGATGTATAAATTGTTACAATAAAATCTAATTCCTCTGTGCATGAAGGTGAACATCCTGATCCCAGTAAATGGAGTAGATCACAAGAAGGTTATTGGTTTCAAAGTTTGGTGCTTAGATGAAGCAGATATGATGCCATAACTCATATATGCTTCTTTCACAGGCTGTGTCAGGTTCTGGACCCGAAAAAATGGCACTGGCAGCAATTGATCCAGAGCAGGTATGTCTGAAATAGTCCCATAATTTCTTTGTCCGGATCAGAAAGATAGGAGCCAATTAACACCTTTCTCTTTTAAACAGAACATTGTATCAAGGGTTGCCAACCTTCCTTTGGTGAGCTCCACCTATGATATGGTGTCCACAGCTTACATCACCACAAAGGATAACCATCCTTATCTGAAGTCAGTATGTGAGATAGCAGAGAAAGGAGTGAAGACGATTACATCAGTAGCCGTGACAAGTGCTATGCCTATCATTCAGAAACTGGAACCACAAAGTAAGGCAAAGATGAAGCTGTTGATAACTTGAGTTCAACTGATTTCTTTTTTTAACTCCAGCTGCGCTTATGGTTTAACATGGCCATGCTGGTCTTGAATGCTGTTTCAGAGGGCTGACTGAACCTGTTCCTCTGACTTGTTGCGTAACTTATTACACATTGATAAGACTTTTAAAAAAAGGTAATCATCCAGAGTGAAAGCAGATTCCAGCCTTCATAATACTAAATTGATGGATGACTTTTGATACATGAGGTGATTGCACAGTCTCTTGCTCAACACATTCCTCACCTTTCACCTGGTTTCAGATGCTACTGTTGTACTTTCTTACACCGAGAACTGGTTAAATTTGGAAGCTGTGTCACAAGGCTGTTGTAACCAGAAACCTGGTTTCATAGAATGGCAGGAGCCAGGTGTGTCAGCTTCTTCTACCAGCTGCTTGGAAATTATCAAATGAATTTTCTTTGCCTGCAAGTGAGCATTTGTTTTCTGGCGCTGTAAATCTGCCTTGTTCTTTGGCTTTGCTGGCATAATTATCACTGAGAAGGAAACTACTTTAAGGGTGTTGCATGAATTCTTTTTCAAGAGGAATTTTCAATTTGAGTTGTTTCACTAGGGCAAAAATAATTAAACCTAACTCTTGTAATTTCTTTTATAGTTGTAGTTGCCAACAACTATGCTTGTATAGGTCTAGACAAAATTGAAGAGAGACTGCCTATACTGAATCAACCCACTGACAAGGTAAGTTCTTTCCATTTATGTATGCTCAGCAGAGGAACCATACACCCTTCTTTTCTGTTATCACTAAAACCCCAGGGAGACACATTTCAAAAAGCTGTGCCTGAAGCACAGCTTGGAAGCAATGAGAAAGTCAAAGGTGTAACTGTAGAACTATTTGTTGCCTTTGGGAGATCCTTAAGCTTTTTTTAAAAAATTATTTTAAATTGCCCACCACTTGATAACATTTTTCTATGGGTGCAGTTCACTGATGGGTGTCTTTTAAAACTTGAGCCTCAGTGCTCAGTGTGAAGTGCCTGGATTACATTCACTGAAGTTTTTTGAGCTGCAAGCTGTGTGGCAGTCATGTTCTTTTTTATCTTGTACATATTTTTTCAGGGCAAATTTTCTTCTAGATAACCAGTACTTGTACAAGATCTAGCATAAATTTATTATTTTCTGTTATTATGTAGCTCTCACTAGTTAATACTTTTAGTAAATCCATGTATGTCCTACGGCAGGTTGTTGCCAATGCCAAGGAGGTAGTTGTTGGAGCTAGAGAAGCTGTAACAACCACTGTGACTGGTGCCAAGGAAACTGTTGCTTACACGATCACTGGAGTTGTGGGCAAGACTAAAGAAGCAGTGCAAGACAGCGTAGAAATGACCAAGTCAGTTGTCAATGGCAGCATTAACACTGTCCTGGGAAGTCGTGTGGTGCAAATGGTGAGCAGTGGTGTGGACAGTGCTCTCACAAAATCAGAGACCCTTGTAGACCAGTATCTTCCACTTACAGAAGCAGAACTAGGTAAGACCAACTGAAGGTTTGACTTTGTTGGAATGCTTATATTGGAGAGAAGCAGGCGCTCATACATTTATTGCTTGCTCATAGTGGAGAGGGGGTTCCATGCTTCCCAATCTGCCATTTGCCTTGCTGATTGTAATAGCAGCATCTTCACAAGGAAGCAGAATGAAAGTAAGCATTTCTCTGTAAGGCAGTCTATCAGCCTAATCATGGTGCTGAAGGACTACTCAACAAGCCCTGTGTTCAGCTGTTACTAGGCAGATAAAATTGTCTCAGATCTCTTAAGTTTTCGTCCAGTGATCAATTTGCTTCCTTTCCACATACCTAGAGAAAGAAGCTGCAAACGTTGAAGGCTTTGAAGTTGGAGTCCAGAAGCCAAGCTACTATGTTAGACTAGGATCCCTGTCTTCAAAGGTCCGCACACGTGCCTACCAACAAGCCTTAAACAAAGTTAGAGATGCTAAACAGAAAAGCCAGGAGACAATCTCACAGCTCCACTACACTGTTAGTCTGGTAAGTTTAAGCTTTCACTTGATACATAAAAAGCATATGTTTGCCTTGGTTTAGAATGAAGGAAACAGCCAAAACAGTCGCAGGAGAACTGGGATTGCTCTCTGACTAAATGCATAAATACATTATTGCATGTATTATGTGTATTACATTAAATACAAAGACTTTGCTATTACGAGATTGTCATCGCCATTCAGGAGAGTTCTAAATCAAGCTAAGCTGTCAACTAATGAGCAATTGCCTGTAACTGTAACCGCAGAAATAGAAGTGAATGTTTAAATTTATTCCTATTTCGTAGTGTAGTGATGAAGTATGGTTTTGACACATACTTCATTCAGTGAAGAACTTGTCATGCAATTTAGAAACACATCAGTCCTTTTAAGTCCTTTTTATTAGTTAAATTTCAAATTCTTTTGGGACTTGATCTCTTGCTGTTTCTATCTCTGAGCGTTTCTGGTACTTCAGGAGTCTTATCCCAACAAATACCTTTATGTACATGACGAACTGCACATAGTCATGGCCTTCTATGCACTTTCAGTTCCTCCTATAGAATGCTATTGGGGGAGGGGAAAATAATTGAGGCAGAGGGGAACACTACATAACATCTTGAAACTTCTTTCAGTTTTCAAGTCTTTGACAAGACTAAACACACTCTTATACTCCCTAGAGTTGCTTATACTGAATTTCTGAAGTATTTTAAATGTTACAAAACAGTTAAGGTAGAGAAGCCCTAAAGGAACTGTTTGGACTCTTGGCTCTACTTCCTTATTTGGCTGTATTTCAGATCGAATATGCCAGAAAGAACGTGAATAGTGCCAATAAGAAACTTCTTGGTGCTCAGGAAAAGCTATATCAATCCTGGGTAGAATGGAAGAAAAATACAGGCCAAAATGATGGTGATGATCTGCGTAGTGCTGAGGTAAATAGATGTAAATGTACACCAGAAATAAATGTATTGTGTCCCATCAAGGTAATAGCAAACTAACAGTCCCTGAAGTATGCAACAGAGAGGCTGGATGCTGAAGCTAAGGGCACCTGACTTCTGAGAAGGAGGGGACCCAAACTCTTTGAAATGAGCCTACTTTCTGCAAACACTCTGGGATTCATCTTCCTCTCTTGAGAATGCTCATCCTGTTTAGCATGTGAACCCATGAGATATCTGTATGCAGATTAGCTAGAAACCATTTATGTGATGCATCCAGACCAGAAATAATGATTTGTCAGCAGTCTTAGGCACAGACTCACTGGGTCCTACACATAGCTTTCAGGAATAGTTATTGATTAGAATGTACTTACCTGCTGTGACTTGTTATCCAGAGTTGAAACAAAAATCTGCTTGACTATTGCTGGGTAGAAGCTATCAGTTCCTTTTCACAAAGTACTTGAGTGTTGAAGAAATATCAAGTACTTCTAAGTCTTTGATGCTTCAGACTAAAAACCTGGTTTCTTATCTGCTATAGCTTTATTTCACTTACATCCCCTTTTCTTTGCTTCTTTATGTATCTTGATCAACATAAAGCTTCTACAGTCATAAAAAGACACTAATGTGCTGTTAACGCTTGTTCTTTCTAGCACATTGAGTCAAGAACTCTAGCTATTGCACGGAGCCTCACTCAGCAGCTTCAGACCACCTGCCTCACACTGGTCTCAAGCCTACAGGGGCTGCCACAGAATGTACAGGATCAGGTTTACAGTGTTGGGTCAATGGCAGGCGATGTCTACCAGAGCTTTCGGTCAGCATCCTCCTTCCAAGAATTATCAGACAGCTTTATTGCAGCTAGCAAAGGACAGCTGAAGAAAATGAAGGAGTCTCTGGATGATGTGATGGATTATCTTGTTAACAACACACCGCTCAACTGGCTGGTAGGTCCCTTTTACCCACAACTGCCTGGCATTCAGCATGCTGAAAGCAAAGGTGAAGGGGAGGAAAGTTTCAGCCAGAGAAACAAACAGCCTGAACACACTACTGAATAAACTGCATAGCATGCATGTACTCTGCTGACCAAACAAGTGGCCTTACCAAGTGTAGCTGTCAAAAAAAACCAATTTTCACCCTTTTTTGGTGAACAATCCATAAATACAGAAATAGGGGAATATACAGGCCAGGACAGTTACACATGGGCTGTATTGTCCTGTGTAGTTAAGCCACGCTTAAAAATTCAAACTAGACTCAAGTGCCTAAGTATTGGCAGCTGATACTTGTCAAGATGCCCTATTTGTCTCTCAAGCACTTCATTGTGCTTCAGTGGTATTAATAGCATTAGTCTAAATGTAACCCACCATAGCTGAATGCCTTTGATTTGTTGCTTAATCTCTACCAGAATGATATAAAAGTCTTACATACTGTAAAATGCATTTAAAAACTCTACAGTCCAGCTATGTACACTTAAATGCTATGTTTGCTGCAGATCACACATTTGTTAATTATGCATCTGACTATCTCAGATTCTATTGCTACATCATTCATGACAAAAGTTCTGTGAGTGCAAAATGCCAAAACTGAAAGTGGGGTTTCTGAATGAGTCAGCTGGAGTTAAATGCCATGACAGTGTTGACTGTATAAGCTTAATTATTGTTTAACACAGTAACTTTACCACAGAGTCATAGAATATCTCAAGCTGGAATGGACCCATAAGCATCATCAAGTTTGACTCCTGCTTCTTGCAGGACTACCTAAAAACTGAACCATGACTAAGAGCATCATCTGTATGCTCTATGAACATATATGTTCCAGTGACTGACCAAATAATTATCAACACATTTTTTAATATGCAGTATAAAGGCAAGATTCATGCTGTTTGTACACAGGTGCCTGCTGGTGTGTGTGTGTGTCTTTTGTAGCTATTGTTTTGTAACTCATTTTTGTATGTTAGTAATAAATGCTTTAGTAGCCTAAGCCTGTGTCCTTTGTTTTAAAACAATCTAACTTGCTCTTCTGTGACTCCCTCAAACTGGGTCCAACAGAAGGCAAGTTTGACATGCAAATGAAGTAGATGCTCATTGAAAATGTTTGTGTATGTATTGATAGATAGATAAGATACTGCTGCAGCATTTTTTTCTTTTGAATTTCTGTGTATCCGTCCATTGAGTCTTAGCTTTACTGCTGCTCTTGCTGATCCTTCCTGTTGTCACCTTTAAAGATGACCTAAGTTGTGAGCTGCTGGATGTGCTAATATTGAAAAGAGATGGATGTGGACAAAAGAACTCTCCCTCCCCTCACAGTAGGTGTTGAGCGTGTATGACATGGCCATCTACCTTCTTTGTCTTCTGACTCCCTATAAACAATGTTTACTTCTCAACTACATCACCAGTTTTAACTTTATTTATCCTCTTGGACTTGAGTGACAGATATATGTTAACATTCAACTACATCAGTGGAATTGTTCTCAGTAAGTCCTGTGAACTCTTTTATTGGAAAAGAAGTAGTTACTAAGAAATAGGCTTTCTTGGGTTAGGCCTGTCCAGCTAAATTCTGTCTTTTTCCCTGATGCATGCCCTATACAAGTTTGGATCGCAGTCATCTAGCATAGCAATGTTGGCCACTGTTTTCAAGGAAGTCACCAAATAGTGTTAGGCACAAACGCAGTTCAAAGAAAGCTATCACATAGTCACTACAGGGAACAAATACCTCCACCTGGCATGATGTAGGCACTAAAGCAAATTACATGTTGTCCAGCGCCTCCTAATGTGAGAGGGTTAGCTATTACATTGGCGTTGGCCTAGAAATGTGAGGAAGACGGTTTTAAGCACAGTATTAAACAAAACTGTAGCAGAACAGGATTGCAGGTCAAGATTCTGTAACTTATGGCTTTTAATACTCACTTTATGTAAAGCAGGTGTTTAACATGAAATTAACATGAGATGGTGAGACTCCTTTCCAGCTAGGGCCTGAGATAAGACTTCTGGAGACACTGCACTTTCAGGAATTAATTTCTTTTTAAGTTTATTTTACTATTGTATAGGTCCAGCAAGAATATACCTTTTATCTCCATTTGCAATAATACTCGTAGAGTGAGTGTATCCACTATTGCAAATGTGTGCAGGAAGAATTGAATGGAACTAGTTAGATGTGGGAGCAGTGGGCTATTCAAAGAAGGGTATTCCCTTCTGTGTGTATTTTAAAGTCTAAGTGCTCTGGGACTTCATCCTAAGGTGATCAATCAAATAAGATATTCAAAATTTTCAGTGTCTTTTGAGGACTGAGAAATAAACAGCATCATATAGCATTAGTGCAGGAGCAGTACATTGTGTATATTCGGACTTGGCTGTCCAGCTTTACTAAATCTCAGCAAGCAGATGAAGTAGAAAGCAATGAAAATTTGTTACCAACATAGTCCTTCGAAGCACTTCTTTCTTACCATGCTCTGTTGGGTGGCTTCTGTTCAAAAGTTACTTGGAATTCTGGCAGCTGACCTACAGCTGGTGGCTGCAAACAGAGCAAGACCTGGTTAAATGCTTACCTAATGGTTGTACTCCTATGTCATGCTGTAATGATAGGTGCTTGTTTTGTTGGATGCTGCCCTCCCCCTAAAATGTTTTTAAGTTTCTGTCCACACACACACAGCATCCACCCCTCATCAGAATTAGGAACTCTTCCCTAGTGGAAGAGACAGCTGAGTAATAGCAAATCTGTATGTTCTTGTTTTTTTTTTCTATAGAATAAAGTTCTCTGATTAAGATCATTAGATTCTATTAATAAGGAGAGCATTGAATGTTTAACCTGATTTCCAACTTGCATGTACTTGCATGGGTATCTTATTGCAGGTGATTTAGTATATTCCATACTCCAGTCTAACTGCAGTTCTACAGACAGAACTTGGGATTTTTCTTTAGTGTGGCTAAAGCTAGAGAGAGTGACTATTAATATGTTCACTGGAGGCAAGAATGAAGCTTTCCCAAGTCTTAGTAGTTTTTGTGCCGCTGTGGTTTTTGACTGAAGCTGATGTGCTTCCTCACAAATAAAGGAGGGAAACTGGAGATACTGCCATCTTACCTGTTTCTCTCTGGCTGCATGTATTAAACAGCTCAGCTGCATTGCACAGAAGCTTGCTTCCTCTTAGTCCAAAATCATGTTTGAGGATATAGGTTGGGCTAGAAAATGGTGAGGTTTCTCTGGCACCATTTAAAAAAGGTTAGACGAGATGTGTTGAAAATGATAGGAAGTAGATTCAACTATTTTCAGCAAGGCAGGTAAACTAGATTGAATGGAAGATTGTAAAAGGCTGCTGGTCACACAAAACCTGGGATGGTAAAGGTTAGAATACTAGCATCATTATCACTTGTAAGGTTATTTAGGGTTTATTTAGAACTCAGAAAATAACTTTTTGTCTTTTAGAGATCACTCAAAAATTTTTCATGCTAGCTGACACTTCCTCTTCCCAGGTGCATTTAACAGACAACTATTATTCTATCATTGCTGATAATAGTTTTTTAGAAAAGCTTTCAATATAAGCATTTGTAAGTAGCTCCATACTGTTTGGAAGTTTTGCAAACATATTTATAGCATTGCTCAAGCCAAATTACAAGATTTGTATAAGGCCTGGAGTTGCAGCCAATTTGCCTTAATCTAAAGAAAGGTATAAAGCTTTGCAAGTGTCTCCTATTCTTCAAGATTAATATTTTTGCAATAATCTTTTCCAGAATTCAACTTAGGGTAATATTTTATAGCTAGTAAAATAGGATTTGGGAACATCTGATGAATTATTTCTCATTTAAAAAAAGCAGTGACTACCACCAAAGAGCTTTTAAAAACCCTCTAATTAAAAAGATGAAATAGAACCAAACTTAAGTATTCTCAGTTAGTAATTTGCAGGATCAGAGAGTCTTACATGAAGCAGCTTGCTGGAGATACCGTGCACAGTGGTTTTTTTTGAATTAATTTATTTTCATTTATTGCCAATTCATGGCAGTTTTATTTTTTTTTTTTTGATTATGTAATCTCTGATGACTAAAAATAAGCACTTGTTCTGAAAGCTCACAAAATGAGAACACTGTCAAAATGCTAGTGGCTCAGATCTAAAAACTTAGCAAGAAAAAAATGGATTGAAGTTGTTAGTATTGACATTTACATTTGTATATGAAGACAGGAAAATTCCAAAGTATTTTTTTGCACTGTCCTATGTAGGGATTTTGCAAGTATTAGATCTTTGTAAATGATTTACTGAATCATACAGAAAAATTTTATGAAGAAAAGTTATATCTGGTCTTAAGATTTTTTTGCAGGAATTGATAGAAAGTTGAAAGAAAGCAGTGAGTCAACTGTGAAAAGTGGTGTGGAAGCAAAGGTCTTTTACATAAGCAATCCCATAACACCAAGGGCTTTGCATTGTTTTGGTTAGACAGTGCAGATGTCAGAATATGTGATTCTTAATACAATTTAGCAGGGTCAAAAGTGAGGTTAGTCATACTGACATCCAGTCTGTTTTACTCATACTGAGATACACTCCAATTTGAAGTTCTGTCATGGCTATCAAAATCTTACTATTACATTAAAGGATACAGGTTCTTCTACTGCGTGCATTAAGGAGATGAAGAAAACAGAAACTTAAATTTGAGCAATTACTCTCTTGTCACTAAGAAGAAAATTAATGTAAGTAATAAAAACCTCTTAAATGTATGACAGAGAAAATTCTTACTGGTCAGACATGCTTACTGAACATGGCTATGTCCTGGTCGTTGTAAATACATACAACCATCCATTTGGGCACATTCTTAAAAACTGCATATGGACTAGTTAGTCTTGTTAGGATACCTGTATTTGTACTACAGTATGAAATACAAGATGATGTGCTGATAATGGGGAAACTTGTTGCTTTCTCTAAGTACAGTAATGAGAGTTTTAGGAAAACTGCTATAAGCAGAAAGACGAAAGATAATTCTTGCTGGTAGAAAGATGTGTTTCCTGCATTTCTAGGGCCTTTTGATCTTTTGGGAAACAAAAATTTCTGATCTTATTTCGATCAAGCTTAAGTTTTCAAAGTGGTCCACACAGTTCATGGTATTCACAGTAGTGCCTGGTTAGTCACATGCTGCTTAAGTTCTTCTAAAGATAAGTTTTAATAAATAATTAGTATTTCAAAGATCCCTAGTGTCCAATGACTAGAGTACAGTGACTGGTCTGTAAGACCAGTAAATTAACATGCAGTGTTTCTGTGTTCTGTACAACCTGGTAGCTGAAGCAGTAGTCCCTTTATTTAATATTGTCTGCCCTTCTGACCTATCTTCATAGCAGGCAAAGCATAGCTTTATCTTGCTTACTGTCTTTCATTAAAGCATGTCATAAGGTGTCTTGCAGTTAGGGAATGCGTTAAAAATCCCTCTTCAGTCAGCGCTGAGCTTAAGTTACACAAATGCCTACAAGCTGCCATTGCTTTGAACATGCAGTACCAAAGTCCTGTCAAAACGCAGCAGTAGTTACTTGCTGATACTGTGTCTGGCTCCAAGTACATCACATCACCAACAGTATAACTAACCAAAAATCATATTACAGATGTATGTTTCACTTGGGGCAAAAAACCCTTACAAGTAAATTACTTAATTTTATCCCATTTTTCAGAAGTGCCTAAGTAATCTAAGTCCTACTAAGGGGACTTAAGGGTTGGGACTTAAGCTCCTAAGTGTCTTAGCCAACATTTTTAGAAGTCTGTAACATCCATCCATCCACTACTGTCTCTGGCAATTCCTGAAACCCTGTGCTGCTTAGCAGTACAGCATACTATATATGCAGTTAAAACAGAGGCCAAAGTGAGATTGTAGTTCCAGGTATTTGTTTCATCAGAAAAGGTCTGATGCAGTAGGCAGGCAGAGCAACACAGAAATCTGTATAAATCTCCTCAGGGCAGATTATTTTGTATAGTCCCTTGCTTCTGTGAAAAGAAGAAAGGCAAATTTACTTTAAAAACCTCATTTCTTAGTTTTCCAGTCACCAGTTTCACTAAATTCAGTCCACTACATTTAGCTCTTTTCCATCTCTACTATAAGATCCTACCTTTAAGCAACTGATTTCCATCTTTGCAGTATTTGATCTGTCTTAATGATTCGTGCTTCCTATGAGTCTCAGCATATTTCGCTCTGTAATCAGGATGTTTGGTCTGATTTCTAGAGATGCTGAGCATCTTTGTGTCCTGTTTTCAATGAAGGAATACTGCACAAATTTGTTTAGTTTTACTTTTAAATTGATTGAAATTTCATTCCTACACAGGTTCCAGATTTCACTATTACAGACCTGTCTTCAGAGTCAGATGATGTCCCAGACATTTTGGATTTGGATGAAGAGGATCAGCAGGACTTTTCACGCACAAATGGCCCTTACACTACAGGGCAAAGAGCTGAATAGAGAAGCATAAAAATGTCTTTTTGATACAATGTACTTTTGCCATGTTTAATTTAGATTTCTCCTTTTTCAAGATGAACCCGCCTAGTTTAGGGATTATGGGGATATTTTTTTTTAAATCAGTACTGTTTCAGTTAGCTGCATCAAAAATCTGGGTTATTCAATGTAAGGAATGCATGCTACATTAATTGGTTAGCATGGGTGTCAGGCTCCCATTCTACAAGCCAGGTGTAGCCTATCCAGTGTATCCAACTAATCGATCTTTGTTGATGATTTGTTCTCCTGCTGGTAGCAGCCATGAGAACACCTCAGTGCTTTGCATAAAGGGCTGCCAACAAAAGGAGTTGATGAGGATTTGCCCACAACATTTCTCCTTTCAGCCTATGGGAAAAGCAGTGCTGCATCTACCTCTTTGCTGCTGGAAGGGGTAAGAGACTTTGTCTATCTCAGATTTTCTCAGGTTCTTTTGTTAGGCTCTGCACCTACAGAGCTTAGATGCTTAGAGCTTTCCTTTGGCAAGACTGCTTTATGCACAAAAGGACTTCCTTTCTTTCCACATGCCTTCTGCGTGCAAATATTTTGGCTGTCATGATGCTATCAGTTATGGCGCCTGAGAATAAAAGGGAGTAAATGCTTCAAAATTAAAGCGTTTTGGGTATAAGATTAGTGTTTAAATAAGAAAGGGGAAGAGACTGTAAAAATAAAGGAAAATAGTAAAGAGATAAAGACTTTGGACAAAAATTTTGGAAAAAAAGAGGGAATTGAATGTAAGGAGAGTTCTGGCGACAGTGAGTTTTAAAAAACGTTTTTAAAAAATCTCAATCAGTTATTTGCTAAGGGCTGGTGAGTCTGCATTTGCTCCCGCACAATAACTTCTCTAGGAGTTGGGGAGAGTGGGAACGGGACTGGAGACAGACTTACTAACATTTCTTTGCGAGGACCAGGCTGACCTGCTGTCGCAGAGACCTCTCCGTGTTGCCGGTGTGACTGCATCGCAGTCCCGGGAGTTGCGGCAGAGCACCGCTGCATCCTCATCCTGGGACACCTGTCGTTGTGAGGACCTGGAAGTCTGGTCATGAAATGCCTTGGAATAAACGTTTGAACCGCACAGTCCGCTTGCCGATGCGAGTTTTTCTTGCTAGGGTTTGAATTTGGGTTTTTTTTTTTGTTTTGTTTTGTTCCCCCCCCCCCCCGCGAAACTTCTGCAATCCGATTACAGAAACCCTATTTAAATGGCAGGGCCTCCGGAGGGGATACCGGCGCCCGGACTACACCTCCCGTGAGGCAGCTCGCCCGGCTCGCCGCGTCTGCGGGCACCGGGGGCGGGCTGGAGGTCTCGCGAGGATAGGGGAGTGGTGTGGGCGGGCCCGCGCGCGGGAGTTTTTGGCGGGCTCGAGAAGATGGCGGGGGTGACGGGGTTAGCTGCCCGCCCGCCGCACGGTGCTGCCTTCAACACCAAGTGGGAGAGTGATCACCTTTGGCTTTATTTGCTGGCCTTGGGCTTTCAGCCGAAAATCCACCATGGCGTAAAACTAGGGAGGTTAGTGCTAGGGGAGATCCAGGGGAGGGCGGGGGCAGGGGGGTCCGAGCGGGGCCCCGCGTCTCACTCGGGAGCGCGAGGCGGGAGCGTCTCGCCATGGCCGCCGAGGGGCCCGGTGCCCCTGGAGATACAGCGCCCGGGAAATGCTCGCAGTGCCGCCGCGGTCCACGTTATCTCAGACTGTCTGAAGAAATGAAACCCAGGAATGGTTAGAACTCCTGCACACCCGCACAGTCCTGTGGGGAAGGCAAGGTTAGGGGCTTCGTAGCGCGTATTTTGAAAACTTGCCTTGAAAGATAGCGCTTTTGCCGGAATTGTGTCGTACCATCGTAGATTGTTAGGGGGCTGGCATGAACCTTAAAACGCCACACAGATTCCATCCCCGTATTCCCGCCGTGGGCCGGGACATCTCCCGCTAGACCAGGTTGTTCAAGGCCTTACCCGCCGTGGCCTTAAACACTGCCAGGGTCGGGGTATCTGCAGCGTCCCTGGGCAGCCTGTTGCAGTGCCTCACTACTGGCACTGTAAAGATTTTTTCCCAAATATCTAACCTAAATTTTCCCTCTTTCAATTTGTACTCATTACTTCTTGTTCAGTCACTACAATTCCTGACTAAGAGTCCCTCTCCAGCTTCCCTGTGGGCCTCCGTCGGATACTATAAGGTTGTTATGAGGTCTCCACACACCGTCTTTGTAGGTGAGGTGCTCCAGTTTGCTTCGTGCCCCTTCTCTGGACGCGCTCCAGCAGTTCCATGCCCTTGTTATGTTGGGGACACCAAAACTGAATGCAGCACTCCAGGTAGGGGTTTCACAAGAACAGAGGGGCAGAATCACCACCTTAGACCCGCTGGCCACACTGTTTTTGTTGCTGCCCTGGATTTTACCTATGTTAAATAGGATGAAAGGTGCATACTTCTTTTACATTGGTAATAAAGCATTCAGTTAATCTGTAACATAATACTGTTTTGTAGTCTTTAGCAGCCAGTAAATATGCTCTGTTAATTTGTCACTGTAACTACTTCTGATGTGTCTGTTCGTTTGTATATTAGGGATATGTTTGCTAAACCAAACAGCAGAGCGTTTTCTGTCGTTGCCCGTTTTTTGTTTACTAAGCTGGATAAGCACCGTGCAAGACAACTTTTCAAGTAAGTGTTTGGCTTCTGAGATTAGTGCTTTGGCCTTAGTTAAGAATATGTTGTATGCAGTTGCTGGAGGGAAAGGAAGTGGTTTCTTGGGGAATGCTTTGGAAGAAGAGCAGTCAGAGAATTTGCTTCCTTTTCATCACAACTCAGTCAATCATCTTTGTCAGTCTGAAACCTTGCCTTAATTAGTTGTTTCTGTTACTATCTGCTACTTGGCAACTTTGATATAAATTTTAACAGCTGATAAATAATCTACCTGTCCCATTCTTTCTGACCAAACAGAAAATAACATTTGTCATTTATGGATTGTTGCCAGGACCTTCAACATGGCAAGAACCCTGTGTTCTTTAATGGTTTTCTTAGTATAACAGAGCTGTTTCAGCTTATGCGTTTGAAGACCTGGCAGGAGGAAGACTAGTGATATGAAAATGGTCAGGGTTCTAGCCTCTCTTTTTTCTTCTTCCCTTGCCCCGAGTTAGAAAGAGCTACAGACAAACCTCTCTCTGAGATAATCTGTAATTAACTTATGAAAAGAAAACATTGTCATTTAACAAACTTTTATCTATTCTTGGTCTAGGGTATATGCCCCTCTTTTTCTGGCTTGTCATCAAAAAGAAATCTGTGTCTTAATCTTGTTTTTACAATGGTTAATTAGGTATCTGACTATTTTAATGCATTTTGACATGGCTTATTTTTTTTCCTTCATCCTTTTTAAATGAAAAGACAATCTGGACTCAGAAAACTACCAAGTCCTAGATTTAGGAAGCAGTGCTGGACGTGGCTAAGAGAAATTTCAGTGAGTATTATGAAAAATGGAAGTTGATGCTCTGCAGGTTTCTGTGACCTTATTTCTTTGAGGGAACTGTTTTATATCAGAGTTTTAAATAAGGAATTCTTTAATCAAAGAATTCAGTTTTGCTTACTATATGGAAGTATATTCTTCCATATAGTTTATCTTGGACTTGCTTGAAAAAAAGATGTTGGCTTTTGGGAATTTACAAGACAGAGACCTAGCTGGGTCCTAAAACTGCTGTGGCTTACTTTTGGGTAACAGTATTTGATTAAATGGAAATCTAGAGAGTCTGTTAGTCCTAGGTGAGAGTAGCTTCCTTCAGCTTGAGGGGTGTTAAGTTGTCTGGGAAGGTGTTTATTATTGTGAAAGCTGATTCACATGCATGAAAAACTTAGTAGTATTTTCTTGTATATTGGGAAAGGGACTAAAATGTAAGGCAAGCTTTTTAAAGACAAAGCAAAACTGATTGCTTTAGGTATCATTGATTATTATGTTGCTTTCTTATTCTGCTTTTGTTTTAATGATTGTTCTAAAAATCTTATCTTTATGTTCTTCAACACTACACTATTTTAGTAATAGTGGGTAAGGTAAAACTAATGATGCAATATCTTTAAATAAGATTAAAATACACCAATTCATGACTTTAGTAGAAAATATGAAAGAAAACGTGAATGTATTTTCAAAGATAGGGATTACCAGTTAGAAATGAATAGGGCATTAATTTTTAATATTTATCCAAATACTGATTTCAGTCTTTGCATTGAAACCATCTTCTGAATTAGGTTGGTGTTGGGAACATTGAAAAAAGTTTTATTCTCTTCTGCTGACTACAGTAGGTGTCAACTGCAGTGGCAAGGTTATTTAGCTTTGCATCAGGCTTGCTTGTGGGTAATCTGCAGCGTTTTAGTATTGTCCTGGTTTTGGGCAAATTTGGGGGAAAACCTCCAGAAGGAGCCGCCAGACAGCAAACCCCACGACTTCTCCCTCCCCACCACCGGGTTCGGGAAGAATTTCTTCAGAGAAGAGTGGGAGAAAAAACCTGTTTATTTAACAAGCAAGACACTCCCCAGCACAGGGGAAAAAAACAACACCAGCTGACAAAAAAACTTTTTCACCGTTCTGAAGGGATGACAAACTCAGTCTTTCCGACGAGCGGTCGCTCAGTTATCAGTCTCTGGCGCTGGGGAATGACTGCTGCAGGTGACAGAATGCAGACTCCCGGTGTTTCTTGGGGTTTCCCAGGTCCCCGTCCAGAACAGGTTCAGATGGTATCCAGGAGAGGGAGGGGACGGGGTGGAAAAGAAAACAGTCCAGGGAAAAAGTTGGACTGCCTAGCTGAACTAACTAATAAGCAAAAAGCAAGGGCAAAGCGAAGGAAAGAAAAAGAGGCAGAAGCGAGCAAGCAAGCAAGCCGAGCTAAAACCTCTCCTAAACATAGACCATGGGGGAGGTGAGCCGGCTGATAACAAGACAAAACAAAGCTTCACTTTCAGAGTCAGTCTTGGAAGCACAGGACATAATACCAAACATAATCAGAGCACACGATTGGAGATACAAACACTGTAACATCACCCTAGGACAAGTATGCAGACAAGTCTTTGATAGTTGTTGCTTATGCTTTACTTCTTAGATTAATTTTGTGTTTAAAACGATTGTACTTTTCTAGAAGCAAAAGGGAGTATGTGTTCCACGAATTGCACCTTCCACACTCATTTGTCCTGGTGGTGCTAAGTTTGTTCACGTGATCTACCATTTTGCAAGATACGTAATGATTCAGAAGATGAAAAAGCTCCGTGGTAAGCTGTATGGGACAATATAAATGCTTCATTTGTTATGTTTGTAAATCTGTCAAGTCTTTCATATATGACAGGAGCTTTTGGGAGTTCTTAGTTGGATGCTCAAGACGGAGCCTTTCACAGGGTTCTGTACATTTGCACAGAGCTACTACTGATAGAACAATGTAGATGGTTTTGCTCTCTATATCTTATGGGTCTTGTTCCAAGATTCACCTGTGCAATGCTCTGCGCCATTACTGACACAAGCAGTGGTTTGGTCCAAAAGTATTGGACGGCTACACTATTCTTTTTTGGAACTTCAGGAATTTTGAAGGATCAGATCTGTCTGTTTCAGACATCTTGTATTATTGTAACCTAAAGAATATAGAAAGAGAGGGAGTGAGCGTGAGGGACTGAAGATATATACAACAGAAAAAAAAAAAGACAAAAGAGGCAGTACACTGCATGCTATATTTCAATCCAGGTAAAAATGAACATCTTGATTTGTGATTATTGCAGTTTGATCTAGATTAGGAAGTTGTCCCATTTGTTAAAAGCAAATAATGTAATCCAAATGCTGACTTCCATTTTAGGCACTCGTAAACGTTTTGTTGCATCTGTAATGCGGAGACCTAAGAATAAGTACATAGCAAAAGCAAGACACAGAGTTGTTTACAATAAACTGCTGGAAAGGCTTCAACAGGAAGACTTTATTTTTGAAGAATATAGGAAAAAAGCAGAGTAAGTAGTGCATTAAAAGAAAGGGAGTCTTTTCATAAAAGCTGACTTAATGTGTATGTGTTTTACAAGGATTTGAAAAGTCTGTATATGCTTTACATCACGGAACTTCTGTTGAACTCCTCCCATATTTCTCCCTTTACCTTCTTTCATCAATAGTTCTACTGCTTGTAGATCTCTTGTGAAGCATAATAGTCTAAAGAAATTAATAATTTAGGAGATGCTGTATGTTACTTAGGCATAAAAATAGGGAATTCTACATGTATAGCAGTATGACTTCTTTTGAAGGGTCGTATCCTAAAATATAACATTCTCAGGATGAAACATTTGGTTTTGTTTATTGACTGTGAGACATATTTTATTTACTTAAACCTTAATTATCTCACCAAAAGTATGCTATTCTTAGCTCATGTTTATGGCAAACACTCTCAGCTTGAGAAATGTCAAGAGCTGGAACTTTCTCTGCAGGCATAGAGTTATGTATCAGTGGAATTTACAGAATTTATGTGGGATAGTTTACATTACTGGAATACTGTTATGGACAGTTGTGAGTTGTTTAGTAAATGGCAGAAAAGGGCAATGGGTTGCACAAGGTGAAAGAGCAGTGTCAGTGCATATATTATTCTACAGTATAGTATAGTATATACTATAGCATGTAGTATACAAGAAGATTGCTCATGTTTCGTGCCTTGGGATGAGGGTTTAGCTTCCAGAGATGCACACCTCATGGTATGTTTCTGCTAGCCTTGATTCTTAGAGAGAACTTCAGCTTACCCGGTACCTGCTGGGAAAGTAGTTCAGTGGTGCATTAGCAATGCAGGAAATGGGAGTGCCTAGGGGATGACTTTGTAATACAATCATTGAGTGTGCTGAGTAGGAAAGGTACTCTTTTGAACTCACTGTGTGTAAATGAGAGAAACTTCTTTGGAGATGTTACAGGCGTCTTATGGTCACTGCAGCCAAGACTGTAGAACTTTAAATCCAAGGAAATGTGAAGAAGACAAGAAGAAAACTGATGACACTGGCCTTTTAATTTGAGTGTATTTCCACTGGCCTAGGCAGCTGTAGGAGGTATCTTGTGGAAAGCAGGAAAGCTCATGAGTGATAGGATACTGTCAGAGATCCTTGCTGAAGCCCATGTGTGATCATCTTAAGACAAAAAACAAGCAGGTACAACAAGGAACCAGCCTGATTAAGACAGTGTAGCAGCATACAGAATATAGTAAAAGGAACTGACTCCAAGACACAAATACAGAAATATGTAGGTGTGCAGTAGTGTTGCTAGGAAGGCCAAAGTTCAGCTAAAGCTCCAAGAGCCTGCTAAGAGCTTGAAAAGAAAAATCCTGTAGTATGTAATTAGGAATAATATTAGCTCAGTCTCTGTGCCAAGAACCAATGGTGAAAGAAGCAACAAAACACTGATAGCAGAAGAGGGTAAAGCAAAGCTTTCATTGCTTTCATCCAAGAGTACAGAGATACTTACCTGAGGTTGTTTCAGAACAGATCTGACCTACGTGGAGAGACAGAAAGCCAGTTAAAAGGGTGAGCTCAGAAGATGATAGTGTCTCAAAGTCTTAACTGGTCTATGAGTGGAGTTCCTATGAGGCTGGTGCTGTGTCTTCTTAAGGAGTATGGATGACAGGCTTGAATACAAACCCATCAAACTTGCAGATGGTGCCAAACTGTGAGGAAGGAAGATATATTGCAATGGGGAGGCATTTCACAGATCTTGCTGGGTCTGGAGACTTGAAGAACAAAAATTGTGTAGGGATTTAACAAATACCAGTGCGAGGTCCTAAACCTGAGAGAGAGATTAGTCCCCAGTAGCAGTACAGGTTTGTGGCTGATTACCTGGGGAATAGCTCTGATAAAAGGAATGAGAAGAGCAAGTAGTGTGGGGCCACAAGCTGAGCATGAGTCAGCAGTGTGTCCTTTTAATGGACCAGCAGCCTACCATGTTGTATGGGAAGGAGCACTGGTCAGCAGATGGTGGTCAGTTGTATTATGCATCATTCATTTTTATTCAGTTTTACTCTTTCCTCTCTTTTACCATCTGTGTTACAGTATTTTTATTTAAATTATTAAACTGCTCTTACCTCAGCCCATAAATTTTCCCATTTTAAAGATTCTTCCTATTCTAGTGAGGCTGGGGAGGTGGGAAATGAGTGCGCAGCTGTGTGGTACTTAGTTGCTTGCTGGGGCTGGCAGTTCTAATGCCACATGTGGAATACTGTGTTCAGTTTTGATCAGCCCACTTGAAGGTAGGGAGTGAAAGGTGGGAGAGATACTAGCAGAAGACTACAGTGGATTAGAGAGTTGCAGAGTATGAAATGTATGAGTAAAAGCTGTAGGAATTTAGTTTGTTTAGCTTGAAAAAGGCAGAGGTAGGGGTTTAATCAGAGTTTTAGTATCTAAGAAGTAGTTGTAGAAAATATGGAGGTACTCTTCACAAAGATGTGTCCTGACAAAACAAGGCAACAGGCCCAAGATGTTTAGGGGAAAACTCCTCTGGATTTAAAAAAAAATCTCTTGTGAGAACAATTAAACTGAAAAATGTTGCCCTCAGAAGTGGAATCTCAGTTCCTGGAAACATTCAAGACTTGGTTTGACATGACGATGAGTAGCATAATTAAAGGCTCTGCTTTCAATGGAAGGCTCAAAAATACAATTTCCAGATGTCAAAGTCTCCTAAACTTCCCTCATTTCTCTAATTCTCTGTCTCCTGTGACCTTGTTTAGGAAATAATACTGCTGTTTATTGTTTGAGTGATACCCTTCAAAAATGTAAATCTATATAGTTTTTTTCTCATTCTTGACAATGCATCAGAACTCTGAAGATCCTTTTGAATGCAGCGTTATTCAGGCACCTAGTGTTTCTGAAAATAAAACCACTATGTTGTTACGTGCTTAAAATGTCAATAAAAGCACTTTGACAAAAGAGGTTCCGTGGTCCAGCTGCTTGTACTTCAGTGTTCTGTTCTGTGGTCTTTTGAAAGTGAGGGATTTGGGTACTGTAGAGTTGCTGAATATATTGGTAGTTCACATTGATAATAGATACTTACAGTAACTTACTTATTGCTGCTGGATGTAAGAAAAAACTGCCTCAGTATGTAGATTTGGAAAGAATGGACACAGTTGGTTAGTGACTGTAAGCAATTCTGATAAACCTGTGCTAGCTGTTGAATTTTTTCCTAGGGTTTTAATTGGAGAAATACAACAGACAAAGTCTGAATATCAAATTGTGCAGGAGCAGTTTAGCAGGTAAGTGTTTTTCCTTGTAACTAAGTTAGGATGTAAGAAATAGATTAGATGCTCAGTTTTATGAAATATGAACTATAATTTCACTGTAGTCCACTTGAACTTTTCTTTTGCATGTGCATATAGGATGAAACAAAATGACCAAAACAAAAATGACACAACTGAGAGAATTCAGAAGGTGAGCATTTTGTTCCTGCTGTGGCAGTGTGTTGAATTGTAACATTTCTGCACTACCTACTGTCAGATAATGTTATTGGCACTTGTCTATCAGTGATTATGCTAGCACTTTCTCATCTGCCTTCATACTCTGTTGTTATAGGTATTACATCAAACATTTTAATGCACTGTTTTTGTCCTTTCCTATTAAGGTCCGCAGTATGTGGACACTTATAGTGGAAATGCTTACATCTCTGAAAAAGGAAAAGGAAGTTGTGGATTTTGTACTTGAAGACTGTGTTAACCCATGTATTCTAAATGGAACTGATGTTGTTTTGAGTGTACCAGAGTTGTTGACTTACACCGTTGAAAGTAATAAATATGGCGTAAGTGGTTTTTGTCCTTGCTAAATTGCTAAACTGCTTTTACATAGTCTTCCGGGATGCAATTAAATACCTTAAAAAATTAAACAAGTCCTTAATGGATTATTAGAGGATGAATGTGGGAGGATGCGTGAAATACGTATAATTCATATGCAAAGATTTCTTGTTATTATAATGCTGTTTTGTATTTGTTATGTCTAACCCATTAGGTTTTTCAGTTTAGTAAATACATTGATAAGTCTAATTATAGTATTTGACTTTTTTGTTGCCAAGACATTAAAATTATGTTGACTGGTTTAACTGGTGCTTCAGCTAATTGGCTTTTGTTTCCATTCTACAGTATATGGTGATGTTCAGTTATGGCGTTTGTGTTGTTTGTGCTGTATCTTTTGGGGCAGTGGTCAACCAGAATACCTCATCGGTTGAAGTTTTCTTGGATTGTAGCACTGTAACATAGAATGGATTTTTTGGAAAATGAAACTGTCAGGACCTGAATCTAAGTATAATTTATACGGTGTCCTGATTCTGACTACAGAAGACATAACTTTCTGATGTTGGTACTGTTTACTAATGATTTTTTTTTATTGCTTGCTCTACTTCAAGTTTTGTACAGGAAATTTGTATGAAGGTGGAAAACTGAATTTCCTAACAGTTATTCAGTTGCTAAATGAAGCCCTGATGACATTGAGAGATGAACATTGTCCGTGTGAATTAAAAACACTTCTTAGAATTGAGGACATAGTTACATTCTACAGGAAGGTACTACAGGAGTTGAACACAAAAAGGTAATTATTGGGAAATTTTCTCTAATTGCTTTCTCTTAAATGGTAGGATCATGTCTACTGGAGTCTTTTCTAGAAAAATGCTACAGCAAAAACATGTTGGTTCAGTCTTTTTCTTGTGCCTCTGGATAACTACTGTTTGTTTTAATTATTTTTATGACTTTTTGAGATTCTTCTCTAGTTAACTTCAGCTTTTTGCCTTGTTTCATTAATATTTTAGTCTTTGTTCGTGGGGATCTCATTTGCTTGCTGATCTGATTTTTGCTTCTTTTTGTCTTGTTGCATTGATAAATTATGAGATTTTTAAAACTTTAATCTGTAACTAACTGGTTTAGGGAAATTTAAAATGTTTATTGTGTATATGTTTTAGTGTAGTTTTTCCACTTCTGCTGTAAGAAACATGAAGACTACCCAGCATCAGGTTTTTTTTGTTTGTGAATTTCAGTTTTTAGGGTATGTATAAATAAATTGGTACCTATCAAGGGTTTGTCAGGATAAGGCAGAAAATGTAATACTTTCCTTCTTTATGTAGAATTGTTATCATTACCAACATTGTCTTCATTTTCCATGTTGATATGTTACAGTCTAAGCACAAAGCAACAACATTGTGAGCCAAACCTTCAGTCTACTTCCAGAGAAGAGGAAATCTGGGAATCGAAGTGGAAAACGATTCTTGGCCAGTGTCCTTTAAATTTAATCATTAGAGATGATCTAGTAAGTAGTCTTTATTTTATCTGATTCTGAGAAAGGGAAAAGGGTGAAGGTGAGAGAGGATGTAGGTCTAAACTAGTGTGTTCTGTTGCAACACTTCAGCTTTATATGTAAGGTTAGAGGACTCACATAGTGCAGTATACCTGATTCTGCTTTAAGAAGTAGTGTTTCTTAAAGAAAATACATTTGACTTCATGATCTCTGATGTACTCACTGGAGATGTTGAGATGGTAGATTGGCATAAGAGTGAGCAGATTGAGGTTTTTTTTGTTTCTGTCCATCCACCTGTGGAAGCTGAGCATTTCTATGTTCAGTCTGAATATTTGCTTATTTCTGTTTTCCCCTTTGAAAGAAATGTACTTGATGAACGAATAATCATTTCCATTTTTATGCTCGTGCTGACAGAGGTTATACGCCTGTTGTAGCTACCCAGCAGAGAGGAGAAACTTCATGTTGAGTCTGACAGCTGTTTTGCAGAAAAGCTGTTTTAAATAACTGTCTGCTAATTGCTGTTGATAAACTGACTTTTTCTGCCTGATTATGTAACTTTTCCTTTTGAAAGCAACTTTTGGAGGCTTCATCGCTCCAATGTTTTAGTTCTTCAGACGAAGATGAAGACAGTGTCTTTGGTCAGTCATTTTCAGGTGGGTGCACAGGAGAAGCTTTTTTCCTTCTCCCTCACTGCCACAATTGTTAAAAGTTTTGTGGAGTCAAAAAGGCTCCCTTCTTGCATTTGCAGATGGTCTTTGATAGTCTGTGGTAATTGATTCTGAATGACTCTCTGCCAAAATTGTCTTTCATTTTTCAACTTCGTATTATCTTGGAGATTCTGTGAAGCTTGGCAAAAATCCAGTGCTGAGCTGTTTGATATTTTGTTGTTCTTGCACAAAAGATGCAGATGTCTTTGTACAAAGGTTTATTCAAGGATTCTAGAGAATACATTTAGTCTAGCAGTAAAGGTTACTTCAGGTTGGAGGAGTAATAAAGAGAGAAGGAAGGTAAAACTTTTCCCATTGACCATCAAGGAAAAGAAATTGAAGGTGTCCTCCCAGGTAGCTGTCTTTCTCTGGTGCATTCTGAAACACTTTATTCCTTAGTAACCATGGCATTTGATCAAGACTTCGCTTGATCTGTGTTGGTTGCATTTAGTCATTAGGTTAACAGTGTTGGTCAAAGCTCACTTTGATCAGGCATAGTTGTTGCACATGTTAATTGGCTGATGATCTGATGATGTTTTACTGAGTGACCTGATATTATTTACTGACCAAATCCTGACTGTCACTAGTACAGAGTTACAAGCTAAAAGCTATAAAGCAAAGAGGAAGACTGCTTGAATCATGTCATTTGCAGTCCCTCTTAGGAAAAATGGCATAGCAGATGTGTATTGGAATTTCAAGATTCTAAACAATGGCGAGAAGATCCTTTTGGTTACAAAGATGAAAGTACTGCTCCAGCCATCTGAATGAATGTATGTGGATATAAGGCTAGGAGCTGCAGAGGAAAGACTACAGAACTGGATTTGGAACATAGTTCGCCTTCAAAAATTTAAAATGTTGAAGCACTGTACAATGATGCTGTGAGCTGGTAGAATCAGAAAGCTTGAGACAAAGTGATATCTCTGTGACATTCTCTACTCTGTGGTTACGATGCATTAGTGGAGACTACTAAGAAAACTTAACTTCTGCCTGTTAATGGGGTCAACTCCAAAAGCAAAATACTGATCTCTCCTAACTGCTGGAAGTGAGCTTGGATTTTTGATGTGTTGAGTTGAATGTGATAGCCATTTGTCCCTGCAGAAGCTGAAATTTAAGATTAGTAGATATCTACTGAGGTTAAACTTTGGCTGTGTATACAAGATGTGCCAGAGTTAGTACATTGTTCTAGACAGTCTGTGACTGAGGTATGTGTTGAAAACATGTACTTCTGTAACATTTACTTACGCAAAGCTTCGCCTTGCTTGAACTGAGGCAGCAAGAAGGATGAATATATCTACAGAGATGTTTATTGATTAATGCAGCTGAGGTAAAGGTGGGTGGAATTGTGCTTTGTGGAATTGATTTGCCACACAGTTGAGGTGTATGTGGAGAGGAGGGGATAATGATGATGTGTCTGGGATTGTAGTTTGGAGGAAGGTAGAAAGTCTGATTGATATGTGCAGGGCAGCAGACAGAATCATGCTTCTTGAGCACGTGCTCAGGAACAACAGATAGTGATGCTCGCTGCTGGGGGCATCTGTGGCTGCAGGTACTGCCTGACCAAAAGAATTGATAGTAGTATCCTGCTTATGTATTGATTTATTTTTCTTGAAGTGTTCATAAAATCCATCCAGTGAGTAATCTATAGAAGTACTGTGGATGAGCTGTGTCACATTTGAAGCCTAAGTGAAGAAACTAGAAGCAATATTAAAACTTTTGAGTTGCTCTTTTAGATAATCATGACTCTTGCCATGAAGAATGCCATGGGAAGAATGATGGGGCTTTGGAAGACATGAAGGATACAACATTAGTACCCTCAAGATGGTATGGTTAATGGGAATTTGATAAAAAAGCAGTAGAAAAAGTAGAAGTTTACTTTTTGAACTTAAATATTTTGCGTCTCGAGTCTTAATGGAATATTTCAGTAGCCCACTCCTTACATCACAACAACTTATTTTAGCAATATAGTCCTAAAGTAACTACTTCGTTCTCCAGCTGATGACAGATTGATCAATTGGTTGCTGCTGAGTAGGAGGAACAGCAGTCAAATTCAAAGTTTTTTTCTTGCTTTTTTAGCTATATTCTAAGATTCAAGAGACAGAGAACAAACTTCTGTTTCTCAGGCGAAGCGTTCTCTACAAGACTTAGTTCATTACTCTTCTTGAGTTACAGTCACATTTTTCTGTAGCTACTCTTGCTACATTACCAGCAAGGGGTTAGACACAGAACAATGGTATCCTAGAAAGTTTTTGCCTTTTGTCATTTGCTTAGTCCAGGAATATTTCATGACCTTTTGAATAATGCTGTCTTTCATAATATGACTCCTACAAATGCTTCAGCGTTGCCTACTAAGAGACCAAGAGAGTTAACAAATGCTATCCATTCTTAGACATCAGTAGATGTTGTTGCATATAAGTCTCAGAGGCTGTCAGAGTAGTTAAGTCCTGGATTTCTTTCAGTGACTTCATGCAGCAAGGACGTTTGTTGGCCTCTGAGGCTACAGATAGGTAACATCAAAAACATTTTAAGCTGTGCTTTTCCTATCAAGTGAGGACTGTGCAGTTTTGAGAGCTATGCAATTGGCACGAAATTTACCAGAAGTGATAAGGCTAAAGTTTTTGGTAGCCAGGCGATGGTTAAATATCAGCAAGTTTATATAGGAACAGACCTGTGTACGCCAGAAATGCTTCAGTCAAAGACTACATAGGACAAAGAATGTTGTCAAGTCTGCAGAAGACCTTCCAGTTATCTGTTATAGCAGAATATAGAAGACTTGTTTACAATCATATTGAAAAATCTATTCTTTTTCTGTGTGCTAATCAATTAATTTTTAGTTTATTAATTTACTATTTCTGGGAGACTGATACACAACTAGAGCTAAAGCTGCTCTAATTGTCACACTGTTCTCCCTATAGTAAAAATTGCTTTCTGATGACCGGGACGAATTGAGGGAAATCGTAACGGACAGATACGGAGCACACAATATATAACAGCCTTCTAAGATGTTCATTCCAGTTGTTTAATTTGTCTCTAAAATAATTGAGTTTTTTTTATCTAGTGACTTCCTCTCTCCCTTCTTGAGATGCTCATCAGTGCGGTCATCATCAGAAGCATCTGAAAATGGAGACCTGTTAATTGAAAATGTAAGTTTCTATCTTTGAAATAAGCTAAACTTATGACGTGTCCTTTTTATATTGGTTGAAACTTGGACTTTGTGGAAAAGGGTTTGGGGGTGGTTTTTGGGGGACTTTGCTTTGTTCTATGAGGCTTAGGGGGTTTTTTTGAGCAATATTTTTACACACTTGAGTTAGTCTGGCAAAATTGTAAAAGCTAACTCTCAGTAACTTCATTAGTTTTAGGAAAGAACAGTAGGAAGGAGATGCCCTTGTATCTGACATCCTGTATAACATAGTGTGTGACTGATTACCTCCTTGCTGAAAGTCTTTTTGATGTAAGCAGTGGTCAGAATTTGTTTCTTTAAGTTGTAAATGAAATTTAAGGGTTAAAATGATGTAAAAGCAGCTTGGATGTACAGTTGTCTATTGCACAACTGTTCACTGTACTGTGATCAAGGTAGTTGCAAATGAGTCATCTGTGTTGTATGTTACACCTATCCTAGTCACTACTTAGGTCCTACTTTGAATACAGTTGTAAAAATATTTTGTATTTAGTTAGAATTTAAGACTGAAATATTTTTTTTTTACTAAATACTGGGGACATTGCAGTTCAGAATTTTTACAGTGGTTCATGCTAATATCCTTGCTTGATTTTAAAATTACTAATAATTCCTGTGTATTCCTCTAGAACTTGCGTACTTGTGTGGGAAATAAAAAATCTCCATCTCCAAAAATCTTAAAAAATGGAAAGGAAGAATTCCCCACTTCAGAAATGGAGAAGAATGTAGGCAAAAATGTTATCCGGACAAAGTCTCCTGTGAAAAAAGATTACCTTCTTGAGAAAGCCAGAGATGAACTGGCAGAAGAGGTTAGTAATTTTTTTGTTTGTTTTTAAGTAAATGATCACTAAGTTCAGGCAACAAACCACTAATTATAACAAAAAATGTCTCTTGTAATCCACATACGTTGAAGGTTACCTTTTTCTGTTAGATAGTTATCAGAGTCACGGAATTTTAGAGTGGACTGATAAAGTACACACTGAAAGCATGAAGATTGTGCAGGTATTATACTTAAAAATCAAGGTGAAGGTGAATAGCATGTTCAGTAGAAGTATAGTATGATTGCATTTCAATCTGAAGTACACTGCATATATTCAGAAACAAAAATAACTGTTGAATTCTTAAGTTATATAGGTTAAGTATTTAACAGGGACTTGGTAATTTTAAGCAGGAATCTAAGTAATTTTCCTTAAAGGTATTGTATTTAATATTTGACTGAGGAATTCCTTCACAAGAGTTACTGTAAAATGTGCCACATCTTTCTTTGGAAAGTAAATTGCATTTTTCATTGAAATGATAGTTACTTCTCACCTGCTAAAGTTTTTGATGTCTTTGAATATATCTCTTCATGCTTACGAAGTTCTTGGCTAATGTCTTAAATATATTCTATGTGAGCACACTTTCTTATTTGAAAAGTGGATTCGCAGTTGATAAGTGAACTGAGAATTGAACCTGATTTCAGTCCCTTATCTTCATTTTGTGTTTGTAGGATACTATGGTTATTGTGAACCTAAGTAGTAAATAACAGAAAAGTTCTTATATTCCAAATTCTCCAGATAATTTGGAGAATGAGATTTATTTTGAACCATAACGGATAGAAATGAAGAGGTTATAATTTTGCTTTCTCAGAACTTGCTGTTCTCTAATATCCTACAGATTGCAAAGTCAGTGTGTGAGTCACCTGAGAGTGGTGAAGAACAAGGAATGGCATTAGATGATCTCATTAGCTCACTGTCTTGTAACCCATTTTTAACAAGGAAACAAATACCCCGAACTCCAGAAAATCTGCGTGAGTTTGAAACTCTGTTTTTAAATGCTCATTGATTAAAAAATGTGGTTAGTTTGTTGACATGTCACACAAGAAGAAAAAGGTAATTATTTCAGTGATGTTGCATATTTTCTTAATGGCTCACTCTGTAACACAACACAGTAGACCTAATAAGATGTGAATACTGTGAATTAAATTTGAGAGATTTTTTTTGTTACATAGAATCCCCTTTGTGTTGAGGAAACATAAACTTTACAAAGCAGCTGTACATATTCCCTCTTAGATTGCTTATGTCACTGAGGGAACAGAATAAAAACAGGCTGGTTGAAAGTACTAAAATTTTACCTTGGTTTATTCCATTTAGTTACTGAAATTAGAAGTTCGTGGAGAAAAGCTATTCAGACTGACGACTCATTAGAGCTAGAACTGTCCTCAACTCAAGTGGTGACAGAAGATTCTGCAATGAATGCTACCTGTATGCAGGAGGAGGTGGACTCTACCTTTGTGTGCTCCGAACATGCATCTCCTGTATCTGACTTGGATCCTCCTTTGTCAGAAAAGAAGTCTCAATTAAGATCTACAGAATCTAGTTTTCAGGAGCAGGTGAGCGTAAGTCATACATTTGAGTCTTCAGGTTCAAAAACATCTGGAATTCAAGAAAGTGAGAAAACTGACTCTGAGAAACTAGATTGTTCTCCTTTGAGTGGAAGTTCTGTCGGAGATCTAAGCCAGACTTCGCAAAATTTAGAGAAGAGCATTAATATTCCAGATACTTGTTTGAAAAGTGGTAGTAAAACAAATAGACTACTTTCAGACCACTCTCGCAGTTTTCTAATGGATAAGATGCTGTGCCAGAAAGTATCTGCATTAAATTCTATCAGTCATGAAACTACTGACATGGGGATATTGGGTGAGACACTTCCAGAATGTGATATAGATCTCAGCATATCTGGAGACTCAGACTCCTCTTTTTTTAGAATGGACAGTGAAAATTCAACAAGTGACTCTGAAAATGATGAGGATATTAAAAAAAAATCGGACCTAGATACACAGTCCCTGTCCAACTCACATGAAGTGCCAAAAAAGACTGCATCTAAAAGTGAAGAGAAGCTGAACTATCAAATACGTAGTAGAGACAGATGGGAATATTGTAGAGCTGAACTATTTACGATACCAGAAGAAGGAGAGGAAAATGATGATGAGCCTTCCACAGATGAAGGATTTACCAAGATGCCATTGCCAAACTCTCCTACTGAAGCCAAATATTCCCTATCATCTTTAGTGGTATCATGTCAACAGATAGATGGTACATGAAGTACCATTAGACTTACTACATAAGTTGAAGGGTAAGTGTCTGTGTTCTTTATGCATCAAGATTTTGTCCATTCTGTCACTGGTTATACTACCATGAATAACCTCTGAGTAGTTGAACTGTGCTGTGGAAGTGGAAGGAAATAAATTATTTGTATGCTTATTCCTCATAGAGGATGAGACATTAAAAATAAAGGAAACATGCTTCCTTTAGTTGTAGAAGTTCTACCAGCATCTTTGAAGTATGAGAGAAGATGTTCATCTAACTTTATGCCATAATCTGGACCTGTTTAAAAAGAAAAAAGCCTTAAGGTGCATTAACTGCAATCTGCAGTTAGAGTTTGAATAATCTGAAGTTAGATTTTGAGAATTCACAAAGATAGTTTGAAGCTTTGTGTTTACTCCGAACAAATTTGGCTATTTAGAAATGTGTCATGGTCACTGAAACTTCAGCGAGTTTTTATCCTGCATTCCAGCCTGCCTATCCCCTTATTCCATTTCCAACATAAGTGCCAATTGTTTAACCAGTATTGCAGTATTTAGTTATATGTGAGGTTAAACTATTGAAATGGATTGATAAAAATGAACTAGTAATGGAGGACTTCCATGAAAACAGATGGTATGCAGGGATGTGATGAGGCAGGCCACCGCCCACTTGGAATTGACTCTGGCAAGGTATGTCAATGATAAGTACATAAGCAGGAAAACAAAGATTAGGGAAAAGTGTTGGGGCCATTGTTGAAGCAGATGGGTGTCCTGGTGATGGAAGACACTGTGAAGGTGGAATTAGTGAATGCCTTCTTTGCCTTAGTCTTTACTGCTGAGGCTGTTCTTCAGGAATCCTAGACACCAGACATAAGAGGAAGGCTGGAGAAAGGAGCACTTGCTGCTGGTCATAGAGGGTTCAGTTAGAGGTCAGCTAGACAGACTTAATGCCCATAAATCTATGGGCTCCAATGACATGCTCCCATGGATGCTGAGGGAGCTGGCAGATACTGTTGCTAAGCCATTCTCCATTATGCTTGAAAAATGGAGAACAGGAGGTGCCTGATGACTGGATGAAAACCAGCGTTGCATCCCTCTTCCAAAAGGGCAGCAAGGAGGAGCCAGGAAACTACTGGCCAGTCAACCTCAGCATCATCCCTGGAAAGGTGGTGGAACAGACCACTCTGAAGAACATCACCAAGCGTGTAGAAGAAATGTACATCATCAGGAATATTCAGGATGGATTCACCAAGGAGTCAGGATGGCTATTGGGAGTAGAAAAGTGGAAATAATACTATACCAATAGTCTTCTGAGATGACATGGCAGAATGAGTTGGCTAGGGGAGAGCAGTGGATATTCTTGGCTGTTAAAGAAACTTCCCAGTCTGGCCATTCATGAGACTGTCTGGCAGTGACATTCCCAAAGTCAGAGACTTTCACTGTTGGGAGTGAAGCCCCTTCGCAGTGGGTGACTCCAGTGCCCTGCTTGACTCCTCACACAGCCCACACTCACATGCAGTCAGACCAGGTTCCCTTACAGGTTCGACCCCAGGTTTCCCTTAGTGGTGTCTCAGATGTCTCAGTCCATAAAGCCATTTATTCACAGTGCAGTAATACAGAAACAGCTTGAGCTGGTGCCTCTGAGCAGGACTCCAGCAAAGGAACCCTGTATCTTTTACATCCTCAGTCTCCCTGCATACAAGTCTTCAGCTTCTGTCCCCACTTTCTGTGTCCATCCACCTAGATGGTGTCACCAGTCTTCATCTCTTTCGTTATCCAAAAGGTAGGCAGTTCTCAGCTTCTGATGGTCTCAGTGTCCATTCACCTGGCTGCTGTCGCCCATCTTCATGCCCCTTGATATCCTAAAGTTTGGCAGTTCACAGCCTCTTGTCTCGGGTTGCCACCCAGAGCTCAGACTACATCTCAGTCATCAGTTTGGGTGTCCATCTTCATGGATCGGATGGTATCAGTACTACCTTAATTTTGGCAAGGTTGTGACACTGTCTCCTGTAACGTCATCATAGGTGAAGCTTAGGGAATGTGGGTTAGAGGAATGGACAGTGAGGTGGATGAAGAGCTGGCTGAAGGCAGAGCTCGGGGAGTCATGATCAGTGGACCAGAGTCCAGCAGGAGGCTTGCAGTCGGTGATATTCCCAAGGAATCAATACTGGGACCAGTCTTATTCAACTTGTTTATCAATGACCTGGAGGAAGGGATCAAATGCACCTTTAGCAAGTTTACTGATGACCCTGGGAGCAGTAGCTGATCCACCTGAAGGCTCTGCTGCCATTCCATGGGACCTGGATCAGCTGGAGGGTTGGGCAGAGAGAAACCCAATGAGGCTCAACAAGGGCAAGTGCTGGATCCTGCACCTGGGGAGGAGCAGCCCCAAGTGCCAGCACAGGCTGGGGCTGACCTCCTGCAGAGCAGCTCTGTGGAGAAGGACCTGGGGCTCCTGCTGGATCATGAGTTCTCTGTGAGCTGTCAGTGCCCCTGTGGCCAGGAGGGCCAGCAGTGTCCTGGGGTGCACTGGGAAGAGTGTGGCCAGCAGGTGCAGGGAGGTGATCCTGCCCCTCTACTCAGCCCTAGTGAGGCCACACCTGGAGTGCTGTGTCCAGTTCTGGGCTCCTCAAGAGAGACAAGAGAGACAAGGAGCTACTGGAGAGGGTCCAGTGGAGAGCCACAAGGATGATCAGGGGTCTGGAGCTTCTCTCTTATGAGAAGAGACTGTGGGAGCTGGATCTGCTAGGTCTGGGGAAGAGAAGACTGAGAGGGGATCTCATCAATAGATAGAAATATCTCAAAGGTGGGTGTCAGGAGGGTGGTGCCAGACTTTTCATTGGTGCCCAGAGACAAGGAGCAATGGCCATAAACAAAAGCACAAGAAATTCCACCATAACTTGTGAAGTAATTCCCTTTTCTCTCTGGTCCCTCTGGCTAGCTCTGGACCAGAGGCAGATGGGAAATCCTCACAGACAAAGATAAGAAACCAAAGGAGGCTCTTTTCTCCCTTCGGTAAAGATGTCCACAGTTTATTGTAGCATCCACATGGCAAAAGGAGAGAGAGGGAAGATGGTGGGCAGCTTTAAACTGAGGGAAAGGGGTGGGGAGGAACAGAGCCGGGACCAATGGGACACTGCCGAGGGGAGGGGCTAAGGGAGGGATGAACCAACTTCACAAGACCCGGGGAGATGGAGGGCAAACCATTTCCTCAGTTCAATATATAACAGTACAGCTTACGAAACAAACAGTGCAATACAAGAACTTCAGGCAGAAATTCTTTACACTGAGGGTGTCATAACACTGAACAGCTGTTTGGGGAGGTTGTGGAGTCTCCCTCTCTGGAGACACTCAAAACCCACGTAGACACATTTCTTGTGTAACCTGCTTTAGGTGACCCTGCCTTGGTGGGGGCGTTGGACTGGATGATCACCAGAGGTCCTTTTCAGTGCTAACTGTGTTGTGATTCTGCGATTTAATGAAGTACTTGGAGTTTCATATAAACTAGTCTCAAGGAGTAGTGAAATTTATTTCTTTGTGCAAGCTTTCTGCAATATAGGTTTCATTCAGAACTTTAGCTGTGTTGCTAGCAACTGATTAGAGCACTTACCAAAATTAGAGTACCATTTCATATATGCTTTATTAATATATGTGAAACAACTTAAAGTGTTTCTGTCTTAATAGTTGAGTGCAAACTAGTATGTTTTCTCTTTCAGATAAGAACAGTTGAGTTAGAAGCTGGGCACGAAGGAACCTTCATCAGGATGGAATTTGTAAATCAGCATTGTCTAGATTGGGAAGTTACACTCTTTTTGGTGGAGACTATTCCAGTCTCCTTGTTTAAAAGTGTCACTTGTCTGCTCTGGCACTGCCAATTTCATATCGTACACTGTGGCGTTCTATGTACAGCCCATGATTTATATACAGAACTATATTTCCTTTTCAAGCATATTTTAAACAGCAGATGTTGAGTAAATGGCATAACCCTAGAAAATGAAAAAATGAAATGTCAAAGGAGAAAGAGTGAAATCTGATCATTTGCTCCTAACCCACATCTCATACCCCATCCTAACCCTCGACCCAACAAATTAAAATTTTACTTGGTGTTCTGCATTCCACTGCATTCATCTCTCTTACTGAGACTTCTGGTCTATATTGCCATCAATTCTACCTGTTGATAGAGGCTGTTCCCTTTTTCTCAACTTTGCTGGAGTGCATATTTAGCTATATTATGGAATAAATGCTTTACACTAAAGTTATAAAAATTTATTGCCTGTGGTACTGTTAATGCTACTCGATTTTAACAACTGACATGCACTTACTATGTTGTGTTGTAACAGGGAATAGAGCCTGTGGTGAGAAAGTACAACTTGAGATTCCAAGAGGTAAAGTTTTTCTAGAAGTACTGACTCCTAGCCTAATGTGTTTAGAGGCATTGTTAAATAAAATTGTTATTCTGCTCTGGATTGTCTTCCTCCTTTCACCAAAACAGTTGCCTTGGGTTTTAAGAAGAAGCTTCACTTGTATTTGTTATTTTCCTTATAAAGCGGAATTTGACAGGCTCTATGAAAAGGCATATAGGTGGTTGTCGAAGCTGTAATATGTATAATATGGCTGTGTATGCTAGCAGATAAGAGGGAAGTGCTGCTTAATAGCCAATTTACATGTTGGTCAGACAGTGAATCAGCTGTTCTCCACATTGACAAGCGCCAGGTGGGCATCAGTGTCATGGCAGACTCTGTGAAAAGGGACAGAGGAGAGGAAATGGCCCCAAGTTCTACGAAGGATATTTACATATTAGGAAAAATTTATTCATGGAAGGGGTTATAAAGTACTGTGACAGGCTGGCCTGGGAATTGGTGAGGCCACCATCCCTGGAAGTGAAAAAAAGTGTGGATATGGCACTTCACATGGTTTAATGGTGAACGTGGTGGTGGTGCTAGGTTGTGTTGGTGGAGCGGCGCGGCACCGGCGGGAAGGAGCCGGTGGGTGCGAGGCGTGCGCTGGTGCCATGACCTTCCAGAGGAGTGTCCTTAGGGAGACGTCCTGGTGGTTACAGGCATGTTCCCGCTCTCGAGAGGAGAGGGATTTCAGCTCTCTTGTGTGAGCCCCGCTTCTGCCGACGGTGGAGAGAGGGACGGGAGCTACGTGTGGTGATCCAAGGCGGAGTTTATTCCTTCTCGAAGGGTCCAGGGACGAAATGGCTCCAAGGGGCAGAGGGAGCGGGGTTGATATAGGAGAGCCAGAGGTCAGGGTAGAACAACTAACAAATCATCTGAGGGCACAGGGGCAGGGGAAGGGAAAAGACCAATAGGCTACAAACATTTTACATGGAACAGGCATGCTAGGGGAAACATTATAACCATTATGAGGAGGGAGTGCATAAGGGCATTCCCTCCATGGGAGAGAGGCAGGCTCTTTCTCTACGGGGCTTTCAGCCTCTACACTAGGTTGATGATATTAAAGGTCTTTTCCAGCCGAAGTTCTATGATCCTGTTACCGCCTTAGCTCCTGGCTGCCTGAACAGGCCCAGCTGTGTTCTGTCCAGGCCTGGGCTCTAGAGCTTGGCACTGGTGACTTCACAAACATTGCCTAGGTAGCTAGATGGTCTGTAGGCTGGCTGCATGTAAGGATGTGGATAGTAAGACTGTGGCTTCTCTTAAGGAAAGTTAAACTGCATTTTGTGTTGCTACTGCACTGACAGTTTGGAATTTTAAAAAGACATTAAAATTTTTGAGTTTCCTGTGAAGACCTGGCCTCACATTTTGAGTTATGTATAAAAGCAGAATCTTTCATCCTTTGAATTAAATTTTTTGTATTGTAAGTAGCAGCTTTCCTGTCCACTGGTTTTTGTTGGGTATTTAGGTCATTTTTGGTTAGGCTTATATTGGAAGTCCATCATAATTAATTTGAAATTCTAGGTAAAATTCTCATTTGGAGCAGTAATTTCCTGATTAGTAAGGGGAAGTTGAGAACAGCAGGGTGTTACGAGCAGCCAGAAATACAACTCTGTATGATGAATACACCAACATCTGCTGAAGATGAACACAGTATTCCTAATGTACAATGTTAAATATCTTAATATACCTATCAGAACTTCTTGTCCATTAAGCCTGGGGAAAATCAGTTTCTCATGAACTTCCTAATCAAAACATACATCCTAACAGTATGTAATTTGGGCTTCTGAAGTTCGGTGCACTGTACTATCATTAGCTGAAATACAGAAATAGAGTGCAAGGTACAGTACCTTGCTCTCTTCTCCAGAGAACAGTATGCTGTAATTTTGTGCAGCACTGCACAGCAGCCAGTATTTCACACCTTAGCTTTGCCTATTATTACCAAGTAAGCTCCAAAAGGATAGCTTTATGAATGTCTATATTTCTATATTCCTTGATCTCTCTCTTTTTTTTTTTTCTTTTTTTTCCCCCCCCATTTTGGAAGATTATGCTTAGGTTTTCTTGCCAGAGCTTATATTCATTGCTCACAAAGGTTTGAGGAAATGTCTGGAATATCTTTCCTCTGAGTACTATAATATTTATTATATCATGAGCAATATGATATACAGAAAGAATTGGACCTGTTCAGTCTCAAGAAG